CCGACATGGCAGCTGTTAAGAAGTTGGTCAAATAAAGAGGAAATGTTTTTATCAGGTGGATCAGTTTAAAGTTTGAACTGATGACTGTGATGACAAAATGTTAAACTTAACACAAAGTTTTTTAAAGACTTCTGCAGTGTTTTAGCATTGCTCACAAAGTGGTGGGGCATTTTAGCAAATCTTCTTTTTTATTCCATGCGTTCATTTGTTGTCAGCGTACATTTCCCACAATGCAGTGTGTTTTTACATACTGTACATACATTAATTTTTTTTATATGAATGAAATAAACAGTAACTGAAACAGTTGGATAAACAGTTGAAACTGTGAGAAGTGGTTGAAATGTCTAGCTTCTACCACTCTAGTTCAATTGTATGGAAAAAACTCATACTGTAGTAATATCTGCATATTTGGAACATCATGGTTGTTGCTGATGACGGGGTATAATAGAGCTGTGAGGGTCCATCTGATTAATAAAAAAGTTACAGATCTAGAGGATGTTTCGACAAACTTGCAATTGATTTTCATAAATAGAAATGAGTGGAAATCAGCGACAGAACGTGTCAAAATCTTAAACTACGCAGCAGGCATTTGAAGCTTTGGGCTGTTCTCTGTACAAGAGTTAGATGTATACATGCAAAAGCACTAGTGTAAATCATTTTGGTCTCTGAAAGACCAGAAGTGAAGGTTTCTGGTTTATGTTCTGTTCGTTTGGCCCCAGATGTGTTTGCAGTTGGGAAGGACAGAAAGTTTCTAGCGGGTGGTTGTGACAGTTGAGGATACTCTTTGTCTTTCTCTCTCTCACACACACACCCATACTCACAGGAGGCATTCAGAGAACTACATGATGGAAAAAAATCAAGTGGCTTTTCGTGCTGCAACCAGGGAATCCCCTTTGTGTTCTGCTCTACTGGAAAAAAACATATTGCCTGTGTAAAAATGATACCGCAGCTGTTTGCTGATTATGACTCAACATTATAGAGCCTTTGTACACTGAGGTGATAATGGTGGCTGCATGGCCACAAACTCAGCAGTGTATGTGAAGGCTCCAGCTGAGCATCTGTTATTTCTGTTGCCATAGCACACATGTAACGTGGTGACTTCCCCAGTTTATTTAGACTGTTTTTCAGAGGCTGCAGCTGTATTATTTCAAGGGTGTTATCGTTGTCGTGTTACGGCTCTGTAAATATCAGGTAGATGAGAAAGGAAAGATGAAAAGTGAGACTGAAGTGAATGATGATAAAACCAGACTGGGATATCTTAACTGGCTGGAGTCTTCTTCTCCCCCCCCCCGTTTTAATTTTCCTGAGGATCCTGATACAACATCAGTCTTTCCCATGACCTTTTATTTATAACTAACTCTTTCCGTATCAGGTGAGGGGAGAAAGTTTTGTCTTATGTTAGTATCTTATGTCGCCCACAAGGCTTGACTGAACATAAAGGCTAGTGATCACCAGGATGTGTTCTCCTTCAGGTTATGGTTATATAGTCTGCTTTAGTGTGAGAAAGGGCAGTGTTTTGGTCTAGTATGAAAAACACACTTGCACACAAGTGAACTGGGTTTAGTGCTTTTATGTGTCTGACTGGCAGGCTCACTCTTTTCCTTTCAGTATTGTTGTAGTGCTCATAAATGTCATCCCCCACTTGGGGCGTTACTGCCTTATTTGGGGCAGAGGATTTTACAGAGAAAATAACATCATAAAAACTTATCACCAAAGATTGTAATTGTATGATGTTCCTTTCGTTTGTCATTGCTGTTAGCTTCCACTTGTTAAACCTGTTTTTTGATGCAGTTTGTGTTTTTGTGTTTTACTTGTGCTGTTGTGAGTTTCAACACACTTTCTTCTATTAAAAAAGTTTTTTTCCTTTAATAAATGCACCTGCAGTTTAGGCACAAATCATTTGGCCTCTTAAGAGCTGTTACTTGGTGCTTATTACTTTAAAATCAGCTTTGATTCCCAGGCGTTTTGGTTAGACTGGCTGCCTAACGAATGCTAACCTCAGCTCATTAGGAACCCTCTTTGTAGCAGCGTTTGTGATTTTACATTAGTTTTTGAATGCTTCATGATGAGTATACACAATTTCGTCTACACCCATTAAACAGTGCAATCTGTTAGCAACAGACATTCAAAATTTGCGAAAAACAAGATATTTCTGTGTTGAAATCCAGCTGCTAGGAAACAGATTGTTTTCTGTCATTGCCTTCAGACCAAAACATTGCTCTGAGTGTCGTGCATTATTGACTCAGGTTGAGCCTTTCATCTCTGCCTTCATGTACTACCTTGTCATGTATTACATGTACTACCTTGTCATGTATTACATGTACTACCTTATCTGCAGTGTCAAGCGGAAGGCATATGCAGCAAAGGTGAGGAGGCTATGAGAGAAGTGTAAATTGAGATTGGGCAGATTGTTTGAGGCAGTTTTGTTTCCTTCTGTGCATGTGTGTCAGTTTGTACAAGCATTAACTGATAGGAAGGTTATGGTGCCTTTAATTTTGTGGCACTGAACCGAATATACCTGAGAAAAGTACAGAAGAAGCCTCCCTCATATTCTAATATTAAACAAACCCCCTTCCTTTGTTTCTATGTTGTGCCTAATCTTTCTCTGTCTTTGATGCACAGCTGACTTTCGCACACAAGTGCACTTCCTGTACAAGTCATACATTCACTTTCATTTTGAGTTACTTTTTTTTTTTGGCCTTTAGATAGATACTTTATTGTCATTGCACTGAAAAAAAAACAATACAACGAAACATCTTTTTAAAAATTATATTCAAAGTGGGTTGTAGAAGGGCAGACAGGAAATGGGAAACCTGCAACAAAGGTTGGAGGTCTGATTCAAGCTGCCGATGTCGTGCACATACTATGCCTGAGTAAGTGGTGTGCCGCACCGTAACCATTCGACTATCGGAGATGGCATTGGCATCCTGGTTGATAAAATTATTTGAATGATAATCAGTTACCAAAATCATTGTTGATTCACTTAGGTCAGCTACTGTAATTGTTTCACCATCACCCAAATCCATACTTGTCGTGCTTCTTTAGCTCCTTGTCCACTCACAGTCCAAACCTTGTGATCATTTACTAACTTTGTGGTTTTCGATATTGTAGCAGCTGTGCTAAATTCTTGGCTGCTTCCCATCTCCTACCTCATAGCTGACCTCATCCCTGTGTGAAGGCTGTACACTGTCTGTCAGGCTCTGGGACCAAACCCATCTCTTCACATGTATTGATATTACATTGAGCTGAAGGACATGCAGTGAGCCATAGATTACCTCATCTGTAACTTTAGCTGCATTGTGCTGAATTTTGCATGGTCACATTGACCTGGTTACCTCTGCATTATTCATGGCAATGGGAGGAAAGCAACAAAATGAATACACATGCATGCATATCTAAAAGGCAGAGGCCAGGGGAGATGTAAAAGATGCAATCAGTTTGGAGAGACAGTGTGGCTGATACTGTCGGATTCACTGCGTGAGACATAAGAAGCCTGTACGTGCGTGTGTGAACTCACTCAGTCCTCAGGCAAAATATGGTGTGGGGGCAATCCAGCACAGGAGACATAACACTCTGACCATTAGTGGACCAGCTCACATATCCCAAGCCCTGGCAGCTGATAGACCTGTGTAAACACATGGCACAGTTTCACCGTATTCACTGTGGCTTCAGTATTCAACACCTCTTTCACACCCCAGCACCACCCCAACCTCTTCTTTCTGTTGCTACACTTGGGCAGCTAACAAATATTTGCCATGATCCTCTGCAAGCTCTCAGAGGGCAGGATTAACGATGGTGTTTGCTGCATACCCATGGCTAGACAAAGCTTTCTCCATCTGGAGCTCCAACCTTTGATTGGTGAACAGAGGCAGCCTGGTCAAGGCAGCCAGGGGGAGGGAGATAGTATAGTCACCACTTAAATTAATAAATAAACAGGAGCCCTGGATGAAGGGGGCAACTCTTGTCTTTTGATGTAGTGGGGTGCAAAAGGATTCTGCATGCTGGCCTTGGTCTGGGCCTGGGCCTGGTGCCATGCCAAAAGGATCAAATTTCCCCAATCAGCTGATTAAACTGTCATATGTGCATCCATTACTGGGCTCTGAGTGGCAGATAGACAAGAAAGGCAAGGCTGTCCTGTGTCTCCTGTTCAGGAAATCAGATTGCTAAAGATCAAAGCCTTGGTCTGTGGTTAATATTTTTTGCCTGTGATCATTATGTTTATTTGTAGATATCTTTATTTAGTTTGGGTGATGCATGCAGAATTGTGCTCATACAGTAATGTTCTTGATTAATACTGTACACAGGGCTTGAAACTCAAGAGGTAGACTACTTAAAATCTAATAGAAAAATCTGAAATCATAAAACATGTTCCACAAAATAACTGATTACAACTTACCAGAATTTGACATTCAAGATTCCAATTTGCAATTTGCACCCTGGCTTTAAATTGCATTCTGAGTGGTCTAAAAAGCTCTTAAAAAGTCTTAAATTTAACTTGATGAAACCTGCAGAAACCCTGAGCCAGGTATTTTTGGAACTTGTGGTTGTCATTTGTTCTGTTATAGTTGCCTGTGTGTATTTATAGATATGTTAAAAAAGTCTGCAACACCATGTGGCAGCTGGTGATAGACAGAAAACATGCACCACCATGGAGGGACTTTAGGCAAGTAGCTACATAGACACGCTTAAAAATTAACTGGATAAGCTTTTTAGCATGTTGTTGTTTATTTAAGTGAACTCCAGTGATCATTCCAAGAGGACATTGACCCCTTTTATTACCAAAACTTTCCCCTGAAGCTAAACGAAACAGCCTGTAGAGTAATTCTGCCTGGTTCTGCTTTGCCTTTCCCGAATCTTCCTACACCATGATATCCTGCTCTTTACCACTCTATACATTCAACATTGTTAATGTGGCTGATAGTATCACACTGTTAGTCCTTCTTGTATGTGGACTGTTTGTTCCTTTGCTGCGTGTCTGTAAGCGTGTGTTCCTTCCTCAGGCTCAGTGATGAAAGCCACCCGACTGTGACGGCCGACGGCACTGTAGACAACCTGGCCCAGGCTGTGGACATGATCCTGAATCAGAGGGGGCACTGAGTACAAGGCAGTGAACACTGGTAACTTTCCACTTACTGTGTCTGTGGCTGATATAGGCTGGTAGTATTTTCATATAGATCTAAGTTTCTAATGGGAAGGGTGTACTTCATTGAGGTAATTCAACAAACACGTCAAAACGCCACAACACTAAATACCATCCAAATATTGTATATCTTGTAACTGTCACAGCTCATTACACTGGCAAATTTGGGCACTACCCACCCACCTGGTGCTCCACATAATGTAAAACAAACTGGAATAAGATTTGCAGAACTGTTACCCAAGTCTGCAAGAGATACACTCTAGAACTGCACTGTGCATTTGTCAGTACATGATTGGCATAGATAAGATGCCTCAAGCTGACATGAATGTGTACCCAGCTGCTAACTGACAGAAGGGAAAAGTAATGCAGAGTGTCCTCACTCTCTCCTAATGTTATGCAGTCTGATTCTTTGAGTAGCTCCTGTACATGGAAGCAGCTTGTATTTACAACTGAAAGGTTTTACGTAGGTAATTGTTGCTTACTCCCTAACAAGCACAGCCTTGATAAATTAACAGGGAACAGTCAGTTATGCAAGTACTTTGATTACTATTAGTAGGCCTAAAGCTATTTTAGTGGTCTGTGTGTTGCTAAATGGCACATCATTACAGAACTTTAAAAAAAAAACAGAGGAAGGCTTCATTGGCTCAAAGCAATGGCGACATTTTGGCCTTGACCCTGTTTGAAAATTATATCCGAGCAGCATATGTTTTACACAGAGAAATGACTGGAAATGGGAAGTGAGCTGGACTGAGAGATGATAAATGCAGAACCCAGCTGAGGGTGATGAATTACGCTGGTGCTTACGCTCATGTTTCTCCTTCTGTAAACAAAGTTGACATGAGCTCTCCATCATCAGAGTGAAGTGAACTGTCTTTATTTGTTTGACTGTAAACCACCTCTGCTGGGGATTGTCCCGTCATATGTTCCACTCAATAAACGTACTGCATTCACTTCTTTATCTGCAGTGAGGTTAGATAAAATGATGAGTAGAAAACATTATATATTGGGTTTTTGTGTGCCAGCTGGATCATTGAGGCCTCTGGAAGTGGGGCGGAAAACAAATGATTCCCCATCACTGCCCCCAAGGTTTCAGTGTACCAAATACATTCATCAAGAACAAAAGCCCATTGGTGAGTGATTCATTGAGGTCTTTTTGGTTCACTTCACCATTAGCTGACACAAGCTTGAATGTTATTAGGCAATTAAAGGTAATGAAATGCTACATAGTCTTATGAAACTGTCTCTGAGCTGGCTGTATACTCTTGATTTTGAACTCGTTTTCTAACTGCTTACAAACTATTTGACTCTTTTGCCCATTAAATTGCAGCCTGTTGGCCTTGTATGGAGCTATTAAACAGGTATTTGACTATTCTCAAATGAGTTCACTTGCTTTTAACTAGGTTGTGTTTTTTTTGACAGTTCATGAAAGGATAGAAATTCTGAGGGATGTAGACCACAGTTTTCAACACCTCAAACACATAACCAGAGCTAGCTGGTTTCGGCGCAAGGTCAGTTTACCTTACAAATAATAGAGATGACCTCATTTCATTTGTATGACCTTACTGCCATAGGAGAGTACTGACAGACTTATACTGTCGAATGCATGACTGACTGACACTGTTGTTGTGGAGGTTAATGGTACAGCAATTTATCATCTCTGTACTTTTTTTGCCCTTTTTATGCCTACATGCTAGTGATAGCTGTGTGTTCTTACTCTCAAGTAAATAATCACTTCAATCAACTGGCAGGAAGTTGAGAAAGACCAATTTTAATCACTGATTAATTATGCCAAGCAATTTATCAAATTAAAATGCCAAATATTTGTAGGGTCTTTCTAATCTAATGTAAGAATTTGCAGGGTTTACATTAAAACTGTGATAGAGACATTCCAAAATCACAAAGTACTAGTAAATACCCTGGCCTCACGTTGCCTTATTTATTAGTATGATACTTAGCAAATTAAGGTCCAATATTTTGACATTTTTGATTATTGTATCAAAAATATTAATTATATAAAAGTCATATGTCATCAAAAATCTAAATCAGCCTGTCTATTCTATTAAATAGGAAATAAAATGTGGCTATCAATGACAGTTTCAGCTTAATTCAGAGGAAAAAATGTTTTTCTGTTCTAAGTGGAAGAGTGCCAACACTTATAACCACATCTATACATCTTTGTAGAGTATACTCTACACACTGCTGCAGTGCGTCTCTGAGCCAACATTCATATGTTGGGTTTTTTTTTTGTCATCTGTTTGGGTTAGGATCTTGTTACACAGCACTCACACTGCTGCTCTTGTAACGCACCTGGATTTATCCACCTTAACAACCACCAGCTGTGTCTTACCTTGAACTTTCATCTCTGCTCATTTGGCTCTTCCTGTTTGACAGGAAATGGCAGGTCAGCTGACCAGACAATGTCACACACCTGCAGCTCTAAATGCACCGTTATCCATGGAAACATGCACTTGTTTTGACAGCAGCCAGTAAGTTTTGCCCTCCCTTCTGTGTATAGAGTGCCTGTCTGTGTGGAGGTCCCTTGCTTTTACTCGCCAAGCCAGATGGTTTCCCCACATTTCATCAGTCTCCTTCCCATGTGGGCAACTGTGCCAACAGCACTCAATGCCATGGGAGGGCTCTAAAACTTCTGTTGGGTTTGGAGCCAAGGCCTGCATTTCCACCCTCTCCTGGCTGCCTCCAGCCCCACCCCATTCTTCCCTCAGAGTCTTTACAAGCAATCTGAAAAGTCTCTCAGTTAATACACAGAGCAGTCTGTACTCCTCTGACATGGCCACCGCCGTCACAGGCCCCTCAGCGGCCACGACCTCTGCTCAACTGCCCACATAAAGTCTCTGAGGCTTGGCTCCTCAGACACAAAGCATGACCCTCTGATGTCATACCCATTCATGCGTGTATGTATAATGTATGTCACCATGAAGTGTAAACTAACTGTCTATGTCAGTAACAGGTCTGAAGGCCTCACAGATGACCTCAGTGTTGCAGCTGTCTGTCTCTGTGGTGGCTCTCCCCGATGAGAATGTCCAGTTGCTTTTTTATAAAAGCTAAAGGAATGGACACACATTTGATGCCACAGTTGTTTTGCTGAAGTGACGCTTCCTGCACTAAACTTTACAAGTCTTAACAATGACTTTATATGAAAAGGCTTGTGTGGTCAGACAGAAGAGACTAGTCTAAAAAGTCACTTGTACCTCATGCAGAGTTTGTGTTTCAGTCTTGAATCAGTTCAACAAAGGGTGTGGGTGAGATTCAATACTGCAGCTACCTGCAAATACAATAAGGTAGTGATACACACTAATAACTGAAAGCACTTTTAGGATTTTCACTTTGCAGTAAAGTATGTGCTTCCTTTGTTTAGCTCACATTTGCTCAACTGCAAATGTTCTGTGGCCAGGTGGTACTTCTAAAGTGCTATTTACTCCAACCACATGTGAGCTGCCAAGCAGGGGTGGGCATAAAACACAAGCATCAACATTCAGTTCATGTTGCATACTGTTAGACTTTTTTTTTTTTTTTTTTAAAATATTCCCTAC